AGGTGAGGCCGATTGCCACTTTTGGAAACTCTCAAAAATGGTGTCAAAAAATTGAAAAGCCTCATTTCAACTTTTTCCCATGAATTCCTCTTGAGCCATTATCTCAACAAATTGGCATAAACGAGTGGGGAGTGAATCATAGAAAAATCCTTCTAAGGTCCAGCTCTCAAATGCATGGTGGGGCAAGTTTGGAGAAGATCCTTAAACCTCTCCCAACATTGGTAGAATGTTTCTCCCTCTTTAATAGAAAATTCATGATTTGTCGATTATGTGCATTGGTGCGGTGTAGAGGGAATTTTTTTTTTTTTTGAAAATTTCAGTTTGCAAAAGTTTCTAGTTTGGTATAGATTGGAATTTTAAAGAATTTAGCCATTGTTTAAATTTATCCTTTAGATAGAAAGGAAAAAGTTTCAATTAACCTAGTTCTAAATTGTCTTGGAATGTTCCATATACCTCGTTGAATTCTTTTATATGTAAATTTGGATTTTTATATTTGAGGCCATAAAATTGAGGTAGTAATTGCATTGTACCAGACTTCACATTGAAGTTAGGTGCATTTGTAGGAAATAGAAAACAAGAGGGGACACTATTCCTTGTGGGATGTAAATATTCCCGTAGAGTTTGCACATCTTTCTAATTATTAGTCATACTATTATCAAAAGCATCTGTTATTGATCGAGGTGTTGAAGGACCAGATTGATTCACAAACCTAACTAATTCACCAGACATAAAAAGAAATCAAAACAAAAAAAATATATAAACCAACAATATATACAAAAGAATAAAAGTTTCTTCACTTTTACTTCAAAACACTTTAGTTCATCGACAATGGCTCCAAAAACTTGAGTAGACTAAAGATATACACGACCAAGTATAAGCAGTCAAGTTATAGTAATAACTCAGTTAAGTCCGAGGTCGTATCCGCAGGATACTAATGTTGGTATTTTAGAACTATGATCAATCGAGACAAATGTGAAAGAAAAATTTTAATATTATTAGTTGTGAAAAGTTGTGTACTAGAGAAAATATAAGGTTCTTAATAATAATAAAAAAGCACTCTTTACTTTTAGGGTCCAGAAATGTGCATTAGTGTTTGAGCACTATATTTGTGCAATATTGACAAAGTAGTTAACCTCTACATCAAAAAGAAGTTAACCTGAAGATAATGATTGAATCTATATTTAAGATTTTAGCTCTGCATTATCCATAGAGTCATAAGCATTGAATATGTCAGGACTCAACCAGTCTATAACCAATCAGATAACTTTAACAAAATGTCTAGCTTTATAAGTTGTTCAATCATATGGTTAAGAGAAACAGAGATTGAAAGATTGTCATGAAGACCTAACATTGGTAATTGCAAGGAACCATAAGCATCACCTATACCAAGACTTAACTTGTCTATAAGTGATCAAAATATTATACAAAGTACTTAGCTTTGCTACATACATTCATTCATTCAAAAAATAAATGAAACATTCAAGCATAATAGAAATTTCACAAATATATTACCCTAACAATGCATTAAAATTTCATCACCCCTCACTAAAGAGTGGGTGAGAAACTACTCACTTTTCATGGATACAGGGGAGCTAGAAAAGTGAGAAAATCTCATCCCTCTAAGTAAAGAGAATTAGAATTACAAAAGATAAATTCAAGGCTACTTTCTTCACTAAAGAATGAATGAAATACTACTCACCCTTCATGGCTACAAGGAAGCTAGAAATGTGAGAGAAGTTCATCCTTCCAAATGAAGAAGAAAACTTATAATGAAAGCAAAAGCTTTGACAAGAAATGTAAACAACTACAAGACTAGAATGATTTGGGAGAGAAATCCATCCAATATGTGTTTTTTTTTTAATTCTAAGGACTAAGGGGTATTATGGATAAATATGGGTGGCAATGGTCCGCAAAAAGGCTAAAAATTTGGAGTGGTTGCATGAAATCCAAAATTTGAAGTCAAAAGTAGATTCTACTTTCAGTAGGGGTATTCGGAAGCTAGTAGGGGCATTTGGAAACCACTAACTCTCTAGAATTGGAAAACTTTATTGTATCTACACTCTAAAGGAGGCATTCAAATAATGGTAGGGGGCATTTTGACGGTGGTCAACAAACAACTTTTCTAGCTTTTCTCCTACTTTTGTCAGCTTTTTTTGGCGTTGTAGGTGGTTTGTCGGGGAATCTTTGACTAAGATAGGCGTCTGGACACTTGCCTTCTTCTTGAAACTTTTTCTTTTTTTCTTTCCAATTGACTCCTCTATTATCCTTTGTCTTAAAACTTTGCCAAATTGCTCTTTTACCCTGTAATTCATGTTAGTAACTAAATCTAACCTATACTATCACATAATTTATACACAACTAATCATGAACCTTTTAATTGATATATAAATTTTGAGGGTTAGCCATATATCAGTAAACCCTCGGTCCTAGTCAGAATGGAAAAAGGGGAACAATTGTACTTATACCTTGTAGTGTCACCAGAAGCAACTAGCGTAATGCTAGTTTGCCAGTGAGATAAGGCTCAGCATCCAGTTTACTATGTAAGTCAAACCCGGAGGGGGCAGAATCTAGGTACCCTATAATCAAAAAAGTGGCCATTGCACTAATTACAACCTCCAAGAAGTTGAGACCTTATTTTCAATAGCATACAATTGTGCTAATAATTTATATTCCTTTTGCAGCAATTCCTTTAGAAGCTTGACGTGTCTGGGCGACTAGAAATGATTTGTCAAACTTAGAGAATTTGATATACAGTACATACTATGAACCCCTATAAAGGAGCAAATGGTAGCCAATCTAATAGCATAATTCAATGGAGAAGTAGTCAAGCTGGTTGAAACCGACCTCCATCGGTCAAAGTGGCAGATGTATATTGATGACTCCTCCAATCTGGAGGAGGAGGTAGGTTAAATCTCATCTCCCCAACTGATGAAAATATTGAGAATGTTCTCCACTTAAGATTTCAGGCCTCAAACAACAAAGCAGAATACTAAGCCCTTACTAAAGGACTACAACTTTCTGGGTCATTTGGAGTAAAACGCCTCAAAGTACATAGTGACTCACAACTAGTAGTAAAGCAATTGCAAGGACATTATGAAGCCTTAGATCCCTATATAAGCTCATACTTAAGTATTGTGATGAAGATAGTGTCAAGTTTTTAACACTTTAAGGTCGCCTAGGTGCCACGTCCATAGAACCTCATATAGGCTCACTAGCACACCTAGCCTTAGCTCTTTCTGATAACTTGGTTAGAACCATTTCCATAGAATTCCTTTCAAGGCCAAGCACTCAGAATGTAGATATCCAACCAATCTCTTAGGAGTCGAGTTGGTTGGATGAGATACTTACATACATACAACACGAAACTCTTCCACAAGTTACCTAGGAAGCCAAGAAGATTTGAAAAAGGATGGTTTGGTACACAATTGTCAACTACGTGCTCTACAAAAGCGGATACTCTTTCTTGTACCTAAGGTGCTTAAGGCCCAGCGAAGCAATGTACATGTTGGACGAGATACATTAAGGAGTGTGTGGAAATCACCTGAGAGGACATACCCTGGCCCAAAAGATTCTTATGCAAGGCTATTTCTGGCCTACAATGAGGAATGGTGTTCAAAGCAACGTACAAAAGTGTGAGAAATGTCAGAAGTTTACTGCAGTGCCAAAGCTACCCCTTGTAGAGCTTTACCAATTAGTGAGCTCGTGACTATTTTCCCAATGGAGAATTGATATTGTAGGTCCCCTCCCAATGGGGAAGGGGCATAACAAATTTATAGTTGTTGCCATAGATTATTTTGCCTAGTGGTCAGGGGTAGAGCCATTAGAAATGATCACTAAACATAAAATCTAAGGATTTGTGTGGAAATCTATTGTTTACAAGTTTGGCATCCTAGCAATCATCATCAGTGATAATGGCACACAATTCAACGATGAAAAGTTTAGGAGATTATGTTTTGAGCTCAGAAAAAATAATCATTATTCCTCTCTAGGTCACCCACAATTGAATGTGCAGGTGGAGGTAACCATTTGGACTTTGCTCAAGAGCATTTATACTAGAATAGAACAATCTAAAGGGCTTTGGGTGGAACCACTCCCAAGTATCTCATGGGCTTTGAACCACGGTCAGGACACCTACAGAGGAGACTCCATTCGTCTTGGCATTTGGCACTGAAGCAATTGTCCTAGTGGAAATTGGGTTGGCCACTCACTAAACCAAGGAGTTTGATCCTGCATAGAATGACAACAACTAGCCTGTAACTTAGATTGGCTAGAAGAAAGATGGGAAGAATCCCGAATGAGGGTGGTAGCGTATCAAAATAGGGTGACCAAGAAATATAACTCTTGAGTTAAGGCACAGGAGTTCCTGCCAAATGACCTTATGTTAAAGAAGGTAATCCCAACCACCAAACATCCCAAAGAAGGAAAATTGGGAGCAACATGGGAATGTCCATATCGAGTAGTGAAAATCTTAAGGCCTATAACCTATCACATGGAGACCTTAGAGGGAGTCAATCTAGCTCACCTTTGGAATGCAAAACACTTGAAGAAGTTCTACCAGTAATTTTTTTTTTCTTGATTTTAATAAGGATTTTTCTCTAGCCTCTTAACTAGAATTAATAAACATGTTTTTCTTCAACTTGCAAAATTTAAAGTCTCACAACTTTAAGCCACACCGAAAAAATTATAGTGCCATATAGAAAGAGCATCCATACCATTTTAGTACACTCAAAATGATTAGAGAACCACCTCGCCTAGATCGAATTGAACTGAGAGGTTCATTAGAAGCTTAAGGCATAACACCTAGCTCAAATTAAACCTTAGAGGTTCATTAGTAGCTTCAGCTACCTCGCCTAGCTTGGATTGAACCTGAGAGGTTTGTTCAAAGAACAAGGCTCAACATAAGATTATTTACAATAAAGTATTAGAAGGTTTCCAAAAGGGAGCTATTTACAATATAAGGAATTTTATTACAACAAAATAGCTGGTAAAAGACTCCCAAATCACTTAGTCCTTTCTTCTCGATCCTTACCACTGTCCATAGCTCCAATATCCCAGGCAACTTTAGTAACAACTTTTGTGGTAGCTTCGAGAGTTTCAGTGGCTAAAGGATTAACATCCTTAGCTAGATCTATCTCAGTATCAACACCTTCTTAAATTGAGACTATAGCCTTACTACTCACATCTTCTCCGTTCTCCTCTCCTTTGTCCCCCCTCAAGTATTAAAGGCTTGAGTGTCAACAGGCTTAAACTTGGAGAAGTCCACATCTGGGTACTCCTTGGAGGCATGTGTCCTTAACTCTTCAAAACCATCAATCTAGGACCTCTTTTTTGAATTCCTTGAAGTTTTGGAATTTCTTTACAACAGTATCACCGGCAGACTTCAAGGCAGTAGAGAGCTGGGCAAATTGTCCAGAAAGATCGGTCACCTCGTCCCCAAGATCTATAACCTTCTTTGAAATTTTGGCAACCTCGTCTTCAAAAGTAAACAAAATCTTGCCGAGCTGGTTGTTGTTCTTCTTTAGTTCCTCAATCTTCCACTCCGCTTCAAGCAGGGTAGTTGTCATTTTATCATGCCTTTTCATCTTTTCCAGAAATTTCCCCTACTCTGAAAATAGCTTGTTAGACCTCTTATCAAGTTTGGCACCTAAATCGACAATATTTTCTTCAAAGCTCTTTCTCTAACCAAGGGAGGAGTAGGAAAGGTTGGTGGTCAAAATGGTGAGTTGGGTTAGAGGAAAAGTGGAGTCAATATAAATGTAAGATAGGGACAAAGCATCTTAAGGAAGAGTAAGGAATGAGATTTACAGCTTGCCTTCCTAATAGTTAAGGCCAGGTTTTTGGTCACCCAGCCATGTCGCAGGTCAAAGGTGTCTTTCAGATTTTCTTCATGCATAAACTCATAAAGTTGTAACATGGCCTCCTCTATATTGTTCCTCATGCTAGGGGTAAGGGTACCAAAGCCTCTAGTATGCGTCGGTAGTACTTTCCTCACCTCTTTAGTGGTCTCAGTAGTTTTCCACTTGCCCTTATTCTAGGAATGGGAAGGGGGAGTATCCATATCAACTCAAGAGACATCTAGAAGGGCATTTTCCTAATTATACACGTCCATCAGGTTAATGCCTTTCTCCTAAGTGCCCTTTGGCGATTGGAGGAGTTGAAGGAAGAGATGGAGATCCAGAAGATTTGCTCCTAGTCTTGCTAGATATGAATTTCGGCCTCTTATAAGTAGGAAAGCCCCCCTCTGAAGTTCTCTGGGCCTGACGATTAGCTAGGAGTTGCTTGTCCACAGGTTGGGGAGCCATGACTGCCAAAAACTAAAGGATAGGGTAAGAAAGTGTCAAACCAGTTTGAGGAACCAAACAAGAAAAATTTCCACCTAAAGGAGTGGGACTACTAGAGTCCACTGGAGCGAGGCCTAATTGACACTTAAATAGGGCCTGACTTGTCACAAGAATTTTGAGATACTGAGTCCCAAAGGTGATAACGACATCGACTCATCTCTTCAGCTTAGGGTTAATGGATCAGCTTTACTTGTACCAAGAAGTAGGAACTAGAATAACCAAGGAGAGCTAAAAATGCAACACTTGCGAAGAGAGAAGGAACCCCCAAAAGCGAGGAACTATAAAAGGCTTACTAGTGAGGGTTTTAGAATGGTCCATTTCCAAACCAGGCGTAGACACAAAAAAGAATTCATCCTTCCATTCTTTCACATTGGAAGAATACCTAGTAAGGAGATCGCACCTCTCTCGCTTGGAAAGATAGAACCACCCAAAGTCTTGCCCCACATAAGTGGTAAGCTTGTAGTAGTGAAGGAGTTCGGCAATGGTGGGTTGGACACCAACACCGTTAGCTCTACCCAAAGAACTCCTATACCAACCAAGAAACCCCAACCATTGGGAGTCAACTGTGTAGGGGCAAGATTCAAATATTGAGGAATCTACCTAATGGACTTAGGTATGAGGAAATGAAGTCTAGCCTCAAGGATGGATTCATAAAGGCACATTGTTTAGGGCCATAAGAGTTCATGGTCTTGTCCGGAGAGGGAAACCTATGAACAGACTCCAAAATTTGGTAAATAGCCTTGATTTCGACAAGGGCACTCTCATCGAGGATGCTATGAAAAAGCCGAACCTCCACAACCTTAATTGAGGAAGAAGGAATTTCTAGTATTGAATCCAAGTCCTCATTGGCCCTGTTAGCTTTAGACACCACAGTGGGGATGCTTTCGGAGATAGTCCGATTAAAGTAACTACCCATGGGAGTGAAGCTACGATAATTGATGTAACAATAGGGTGAGGGAAGACAACTTGAGTCATGGTTAAGCAAAGAAAGACACAATTCAGGAACTAGCTCGAGTCAGGCTCTTCTAGATTGATCTGCAAATAACCCTAAGGAGTCAAAAGAATGGCCCTTCCAATGAAGAAAACAAAAATAGTAGAAATGAAATTGGAAAATGTGACTCCAATTTCATGATTACAATCAGAGAAAGAAGGGAGTATTAGGGATTCTTGAATTCTTGAAGTATCAAATACGAAGGAGAGGATGCATTTAAATAGCTAGCTCCACAATAGATATTTTGTGGTTACATCCGCACATCCGTCGTTCTATCTCCCAATGCATGAACGGACAAATGCATTAAATAGAAAAGCACGTATCAAGCCACACTAATTGATACTGATGGTTTTGGCATGAGCATGGCATGGGTTCATTAAATTTTGAGCTTGCCAGCTCGCCAGCCCATAAGTACAAGCTAGAGCTATCCAACTCTAGAGGAGCAACTCATCTTTGTAGCTCAGAAGGGATCCATACACACACGAATCTGACCAATTCAACTTAGCTAAGGTTTCTTACTCCAACAAGGAGTCAATCTTCACTACATTATTAGAACCTTGATAATTGAAATAAGTGGAGGGGAATCTGCTAACGGCCTAATTGTACTGCCTATAAAGAGGGAGTTTATGGATATCAACAAGGTAAGTAAACCAAAATCTAGTTACAAACTTATATCTCTTCATTTATCCCTCTAACTTAAGCATCAGAGGATCGACCCCCATAATGCCTCTGGTCTCCAACTTGTATTTGTAGGGAACCTCTTGGGTGGCCAAAAACACAATTTGAACTCACAAAGACGTCTAGAGCTCGGTGAACATTTTTCACCATCAACATCTACAATATCAACACACATTGAAGCAATGGCAGCCTCAATTGTGGTTAATTTCGCATCTGAAATGGGCTATGATAGAATCCAGATTGGAGGTGACTTGGTACAAGTGATTTTTGGTCTAATGGTACTCCTTATTTTGTGAAGACTTTGTCTTCTTGAGGTCAAGATTTCAAATCCCCTTTTCTCCTTTCCTCCCCCAAATAAAAAAAAAGGATCATCTACCGAAAATTAGAATCTTTGAGGATTACAGAAAAAAGAAATTGTAGTTGTTTTTGTGGCTTGGGTTCACAAATTTGACAATTATTGCAAACTATTTAGCAAAATATGCCTATAGTTATGCTCACTTGTGTTATTGGAGGGAGGAAGCTCCACATTTCTTGTTACCTTCCCTCCACTTTGATGTCTCGTTATTATGATACATTAATAACATTCTTCATTTCTTTTCAAGAAAACAAAAATTGCTAGCATCTTCTGCAACAAAAAAGCTAGTAGAATTATTGCAATTCACTATCTATACTACTAATAAAAATATTTTAAAATGAAAATTTTTTGAATATCTAATTTACCCTTATAAAGAAATACAAAGACCACTATATCCTTTCACAATTAAATATCTAAATTACCATCATATTCTTATGTATTTAAATCTCCAAATTATCTATAACATCTCTTTTAATTATCTATTATCTATGTATAAATATAAGTTTCTATAAAAAAATTTGATTGACTATATTACTCTTAAAAAAATATGCATAATTATATTTTCAATAAAGTATACAAAAAATCTTGAAAAACTTCATCAATTTAATATTACTCATCTCATATGCAAAATTAACATTATGCATATGTCTATTTTTTTTAATCAAAAGTTTAACTCTTTTATTTCTAAGATAAAAAAATAATAGTATATATTATTTTTTTAATATAAATTTATGTTTTTTCTAAATTGTACTAAGATTTTATATAAAAATAAATATTATAGTGTATTTTTAAGCAAAACTTAAATTTTTTAGAATTTTAATATGCTTGAAAATATATATATATATTATATATTAGTATATTAAATCTTATCATATTTGATTTAACTAATTCCTAATTATAGTAAAGTTCTAATGTGATTAGTATATTCAAAATTACTTTTATTTTATTCAAGTAATTATAAGTGGAATCCTAATCAAATGAATTTAAAAAAAAAATTAATTTCTCAAATATCACTAAAAAAATAATATGAATCACAAAATTCTACAAAATAGAATTTTAACTCTTTTTTTTATAGTTAGAACAAAGAATTTTGAAATCATACAAAGTTTTCATAATCTTATCTATACTACTCTAAAATGTCAAAATACATTAAAAAAATTTATTGGACACTTTTATCCTGCAAAATTTTGAAAATGCCAAGATCACCATTGGAATTGGAATACCAAACATTTGTGACATTCATCATGTCAAATGAACCATTAAAGTTTTCATAATGAGCATTATTGTATTTGCTAGTGTAAATATATCACTCTGATAAATCTTATAATGTCAAAAATATTATATTAACTCTGTATTTCCAATATTTTCATGTTGCTATTAACTCTGTCATATGTGACGTAGAGTAAACGAAAGGCCATATCAACCTATCTTGCACCTCATAATAATTAGTATAATATTCTACTCTTCTTAGATTCATATCTATATCTATACCTATATCTATATTACTAATAAAGACACCTAAGGGAAAAAATTTTGAATTTTTATTATAACCCTAAAGTCCTATAAATAAAATCATATCATATTCTCTAATTTAACTTCTAAACTCCCTTTCTAGAAGTGAGTATTCATTTACAACTATAATGAAGATGTAGCTATCAATAGAAAGGTGTTTCATATTCTTCCTTCTCACATATTAGTTATTAAGCATGATGTCTTATTCTTTGTATTCTAATAACCAAAACCCCATCTTTGTGGTCGTCCATTCATATCTTCCTCACCCATCAAATTCATGTTACACACAGATATAATATATAAACAAACTAAAATTGCTCTGATTTGAGTAGCCATTTCGTGGCTTATTTATGCTTTCTTCATATCCTTCACAACTTTCTATACAAATATGTTGTCATCCAAAGAGAGAATTGCCTAAACGTATGTAATATCATTCTCTTTTCCTTGGATTTACTACGTCTCTACTTATGGAATCTTCATGTGTTGAGGTATGTCACTGTCAATCGATGCATCATTTTGTTTGTTACTTGTAGAGCACTAAAATATCAAGACTATGTAAAACTCGGAAAAAATTGAACTTTTTCGTCAAAGAGCAAAATAGTAATTTGCCACTATTATGCGGGATTAAAATGCATATTCCTATAGATCTCTGATGGTGCATCAGACTTCACCGTTGGATTCGTATCGCGAAATTGAGTTACCACG